TTAAACAAATATACAGTCATTTCATCATTAAATGCAGTACTATTTCCGTTGCTTACACTTGAAATAATTTACCTTATAAAAGTCGTCATCAATTATCGGCTTGAGTATCACCCGTGTCGATTTCCAATCAGCTGTATGTGTGCATCCGTGGCCTAACGATGTCATCGCTCGTATGTTGGTCAATAAAGAGTATTCAATCCATCGTATATAGGTATCGTATACACTCGTTGTATTGCTCCATGACTCCTTTATGAATGAATCCAAAGACTTGTTGCCAGTCGTCCAATCAAGTGGTCTCGGTGATTTACAATCATAACAAAAAGTATTTATTTTGGGTTCAAATTTACTTGCACACGACAGACATAATCCATTCTCAGCTTTAATTAGATAATGCTTTTTTTTCTTTGCATTGTATGTAAACCCGATGGTGACCCAAACGTTATTTATAAGAACATCTGGATGTTTATCACATAACTAATAAAATAATACATATTGTTAAGTCATTATTATCCAGACGATTCAATAAGTGAAATGAATAATTAGTGATTGAATAATTTCTTTACCTTATCATAACAGGAATTATCATTAGTTATTTCTAACGGAGTCAATTTAACGTGTGCACAAGTGGGTAGACCATACAAGTGTAAATTATATCCAAATCTCTTTTTAATGCAATTATATGGAATCCATTCCAAATAGGCATGTTTCGGTGAGTTTGTTTGTAATTGAGATTTTTCAATAAACTCATCGAGTTGCCTATTGTAACTAGTCCATCCATTGAATAATCCTTTATGACCACAAATGCACCACACGGGACTACATCGAAGTATTCCACATGAGGAGCAGAATCCATATCGAGAATAACAGTGATAAAAGAGTTTATCAGCAACCATGTAATAAATGTCATTAGACTTGGTAAATCCTATTATGAGTTTGTTGCGATTTTCAAGCCATTTGGAATATCTTCTGAACTGACTAGTATCATTACAGTACTTTTGTGTCGGAAGTGAGTATAGCCTAGCAACCTCATTCGCAAGTGTCGGTGTACATTCTTTGCTACTTCCAAGCAATATCAGCGTTACGTTAACTGCTTCTCGAACAGCATAGTAGACGTTGTTGATATAAGTTGATTTAATATCAGTGATTTCAGAGCCAGAAATCCATTCAAGTTGTTCGCTTTCCGATTGAATCAAGCTTTCGATTGCTGGATTATGCATTTCGTTAACGACATGGTCATCTCGGGAGAATATATTCAACAATTACTGTGTTACATTACACACGATATGAGTTCTACGTTGTACATATTTACCACAATAATTTGTACTACAGTGAAACCACTCCACGGGACTTTTTTGACTGGGTATAAAGGTATAAAAGGCAAGTGATAAATGGTCGATACAAAAAAGTAAAAGTAGAATAGAAGGAAGGGTTACATGATCGAAATATTTTATATTTATAATGGCATGACGATATCGTCCAACAAAATTTCGACCGGAGCCATTATTATTTAATTAGCGGATGACCGGTATATAAGGAAAAATTCATATGTCAAAATCGTTCCTGAAAGTTGGGCCGCTATAGCAAGACAGTATGTCCGGGAGAAACTATATAAAGAGATTCACTTATCGTGCAAAATTTCCTGATTGTCTTATCTACTAGATATAGAATAGAACATGAAGAAAATATCAAACACTAGTATATAGGAACTTGTCTTGTTCTACGATTATGCAGATCTTCATTGCATGCACGACAAACAGATTTTGTGTTCGTAAAATATTAACCGGGCTATCCTGTATAAATACAAAAGCTAAAATTATCTGAAAAATTGTCAGTGAACAGAGAGAACATATGCTAAAAACAGTTTGAGACATTTTCGTATCTCTCGCAATGAGCTGTTATTAAAATCTAATATTCAGCAAACTTCTAAAATGACACTATTTCTGGCTTTCTGTTTAATGACAGCATAGGATAAATGAATATGTCGATAATCAAAATTCCGCATGGGTGAACACTTTTGTTGTTGTGTAAAATCGTAAGAGTTCGATTACGAAACCCCTTTACTAGTTGGAGCGAAGCCACTTGTCGATATTCTTATGCTATTGGCAAGTAATCATAGCCTGCATACGTACAATGCAAATTTAACTGATTTAATCCTTTATTCATTATGGTAAATTAATTATCGGCAAGCGATGATAAAATTGTACTTGTCTTCCGACGTTTCAAGTCGGGAAATCAAGTTTGTGTCTGGATAAAGTGTGAGAGTCAATACACTATTAACCACGTTTTTCAGTATATAAATAATCTTGTCCACCATGTCCATCAGTGCTTAAATACGTAAATTATACTATTACTATTGTCAAACATTTCGCCTCTCGCCTCGCCTCTCTTTCCCACCCTCTTTTCCATTATTGCAAGTTGCCAGGCAGGCGCCAACTCAATTTGTTGAGAGAATACGCATTTATAGAATCCAACTGTTTATCCTTCATTAATATTCTCTACTTGCTGCAATTATACACCAGTGTTCTTAGTTTTCAAAATAAAAACTAACGTTTGCATTATTATTTTATTGGCGACGTTAAGCTTTACGGCTTTGGGTGCGCCCGCGTCTGATGTAAAAAATATGGACTTGTACAAAAGAGCAAGTATTTCGATCGTTTACAAACACTCACACAAATCAGGTCAACGGTAGACTCTTTTTAATTTCCAAATCAAGAAAGAAACTGCGTCTGATGGACTGTCTTCTACGATCTGCGAAACATCACAACTTAAAAAAGCCGATGGCACTCAGAATAGAGAGGGCAGCTGCGTAAAAACTCAATTAGGCGAAGTTCCGTCTGTTGAAAAAATGGTTTCCACTATCATTGTTGAGCCGACATACAATCAGTACATACCATCTGGGACGTCTTTAACGTATAGTAAATATCTACCTTAATCACTTGATGCTCGATGTTAACCTAATTTGTCCATGATGCATTGCCATTCGTCATTTGCGTGTATCATTCCCATATTAAAATTTCGGACTTCCCTTCAATTACTTTTTCAGGTAAGCGTCATAGGGATTTTATACGACCGTTTTTATATATCCTTATGCAAATCCGATTTCTTATGCATACTGTTATGCATAAGGAAGCCCCACCCTCCTCCCTCGATATCGTGGTGTATTTATAAGAAAAAAAATTGCACGCCGCAGCATTCTTTCTCATAACATAAAACATAATGTATCTTACAATGACAAGGCAACTGTCATTACTATTTCAATTTATTATTATATGAAGCTGGGATTTTCGTTTTGTCAACTCACAATATCTCCTTCCCCTTTCCAGCGTAAATATCGGTAATAGTTAACAACATTTTCTCGTAAAGTTTGGTTGGCTTCGTCAGATTATTAAAATTATGGTTACATGTCAAGAAAATTGTCCTTAACTTCGACGATCATCCGTGTATTGCTATATTTTCGTTTTTGCCCCCAAAATGTTATAATTAGACTAATAATTGACGATCGCTTTCACATAAATAGCATTATATTCCCACCTTCCCCAATTTTACGTTTATGTTTGTTTGTAGGCGCTTTGTTCTAATTATAACTAAACACATTGCATTATTATTTCATTTTCCGAAAATAAAATGATTAAACCATATTAGTATAATGCAAATTTCAAAAATTCAGCTGCTTTTTCTCTGTTTGCCATAAATAAAAATATTATATATATTCACTAAAAGAACCAATAACACAACTTATAACACAGATTGATCAAAATGTCTTACGTTATCGATATATTTTCTCTTGACACAAACGAAATTATTTTCGATGTAAATGCGGATTCATGGCTTTCGCATGTCGGTGAACACAATAATCCGCCTACTCCATTACACGAATCTTCCAACGATAGTAACAATAACCCCACGGAAATTAACAGTCGTTCATACTGGCGTCCTTCCGCTACATTACGCAAAATTCTAACCCATCTCACTAATAATGAATTTGCCCAATTTCCGTGTATTCCATGTTCATACTGCTCGCGCTTACTATATCCCCATTCAACAAAATGGATAGTTAAAGATGAAACTATTAGATATCCTTTCGAATTATCCTATCCCGAAATACCTCTTACAACACACCCAAATAATTCAACAAAAATTGCGGTTTGCAGTGGCTGTAAATCTAATCCTGATGGCCGATTAAGTTATAAACTTGCATCAATACCTGCATGTATCGAACATGTCCCGTATGCAAAGAGAAAATATCTCTCCCCCGTTTATCTTCATACCAGCTTAGGCCGATCTGCAAATGCAAACCCGTTTGTTGAATATCGTAGTTTAACGGGCCAAATGGGATACTCCAAAAACCGAAGATCGCTGACTCTCTATTCGGGTATGCTGGGTGCTTTCTTACAACAAACAGACCTGGTAACCGTTGGTACCATCCATCATTATATTATGCATGTGAATGGTTGCAAAATAACAATCCTTATTTGGTTGCTTATCATTCTTTGGCTTCACGTTTACTCGAACAAAGTGAACTATCTTCGCACTGCACATCCCTGAAGATAATACGGCCCCCTGCTCATTCGCCAGATATAGTAATGCCGCCTTATGTTTTATCCCGTTTAGCCATAGGTTTTCTTCTAAACAATGATGATCACAGATCCTGAATTAGAATTATTATTTCCCGACCTATTCCCTGATGGTTGTGACTTACACAACCAATCACTCGCCAATAATAAACTACCCAGTGGGGCACAGCCCCCTGAAAATTTTGATTTCTAGTTAACATACAAGCTCAAACAATCAATATAACTAAACATGAAATTTACGGCGGTCAAGTTTTTGTTCATCCTTGTTCTTTTTGCGGTAGCTTTCGAGTCGGAAGTTGTACAAGGTAAACACAACAGTACTATTAAAGATAGTAAATCATGAAGACACGCCGAATGTTATATAAAATATTACTATTAGAATACAAACTAATACTTGCGTATTTTTTTTCTTTTACAATTGTATTATCAATTATCTAGCAAGGCCTTTTGAGCCTGAGCGTAGAAAAAGGTCACTTCGCGAGAAAAGGCCGCCGGACCATATAATTCGCCATTTTGAGCAGAAAAGGTCTCCAACCGACCCCTATAAGGGAGTTTACTGCGGACCTCACTGTCTCTAGTACTAATTCGTTTATATTTAAACTATTTGTCAATATACTAAATGTATCAACTCTCATTTGTTTTGGCAAATAAATTATTCCAAACTGATTCTGATTAAACAACACATGTCAAAGACTTAATTAATGTTGTAATTTTCCTCTGCACTGATGGTTGATGCATAGATTTTATATACATTATGCAATCCGTTAATACAGAAATAAAACAATAGTATATAATAGTTAATAGTCTCGGCCCCATTGTTATATTATTGATAGCTACGCATTAGTCGAATCTTTGTTAAGCCCGGAGCAGCAGTGAAAGGAATACAAATGTTGACTGTCACTATAGTTATAACCATCCTACAAAATTTATTATTAAAAATAAAACTATTGTTCATACGGATGTCTTATACGTTAATCAAATTTTGTAGTGGTGGGTGTAGAATATATTGTGGCATGCGGAACATTGATAGTAAAACATTTTTGAGAATAACAGGCAACCTTAAATAAATTATCATTATGAACAATGTATTGGTAAACTTTATTACGTATGATAAATGTAATAGATGAATACGCAAACGAAAATCTGCCTGATTCAGAACTGAAAAATAAACTTTTAATAGTGGTGTACTGTTGTAGGCCTATCTCAGTTCAGCTCAGTCCGGAACTAGTTTCCAGGTTCCCACCTTAGGTACAACATTTACAAATCTTGAAACCGACGCAACCAAATTTCACGTATGTCGTTGATCCCTTCCATCTCTTTCGTCTAGCATGAAAAAAATGTTAGCACCAACAAGCCGTTATTGTCAAAGTTGCCGACGTTAATTGTGAGAATCATGACAGAACGAGACTATTAATTGTATTGTATTATCTTATTTATGCTCTACGTCAGTACTTTTTTCCAAATCGTTCCATAGCGTTGAAATAATAATAATTTTTACAGCTCAGTTTTTCTTGACATAATTGTCCGAGTTAAATCCCGATTTTATTTGCCAAAACAAATAAAAGCTTGATATACGTATACTTTTTTGATGAACAAGCTGATTCAACAAATCAAATAATAACAGACATAGGCAGAATATGAACAACTGAAGTGACAAAGATCATTCGTCACATTCCAAAAATGCCAGTCTGGAGCAATCGCTCTTCTTACACAGCCTTAGCCCTCTTGGCCATTTTTGCCATTTTAACCGACTTGGCCATCTTAGCCAGACCCGGGGATCGTTTCTTGGCTTTCGCCGCTTTTGGGTGTGCTGGGAAAGGATAGAGTTAATGGAAGAAAAGGAAAGGAGAGGAAGAGAAATAAATATATATATATTGTTGTCTTAGCATAACGTTCTATTAGATTAATTACAGTATAACCATTCGATTCTATCTCTCTATATAAATTTTGTATAATCAGTGGTGGTGATATTCGTATCGTATTATTACGGTAACGCTTACCTTGTACGACTCCCGATTCGAGAAGTGCTACAATGATGACAAGAATGAACAAAAACTTAGCCACAGTAAACTTCATGGTTGATTTTCTGACGTGTGCTTTAAGTTTTGTAGTTTGATACTTTGATGGTAAATCTCAATCCACCGGATTTTTTCATGTCTGCCTGCTCACCATTACTTATATACTACAGAGTTGCTATTTTTATTTCGTGTGCAACTCACATGACAGAGAAAAAGGGGGTAGTTGGCTGAGACGTTGTGTAATGGGTCATAATAAACTTTAAATTATGCAAGGGAACCGAATAATAATCGACGGTTACGACCTCGGGTTGTCACTTGTTATCCTGTGTAACATTGATTGGCATAAGCCCAAACAACTTGCCCGTCGTACGGTAATCATTGCGTCATGTATTTGATTGCTCTGCTTTAAATTTCCACCCCATGTAATCAATGTTTTTGTTGATATTCCTCATCACAGCGTCCGGTGTGGTTTACGTTCAAACGTCCAGTCTAATCATCGTCAGGTGTATTAAATTGGCAATGCGATTGTTCATGTAGTTATGCATCTCCCTTGTGCAAAAATTTTCTATTTGGTACACACGGCATCTGATGACAACAAATTTATCCGAGCATCTTTTTTTTTTTACTTTCATCTATGATGGTTAACGGAATTTGTTAATTAAAAGAGTGCAGTTTTCCTTGGAAAGTTGGTTGTTGCGCTAGTACTAGGACGTAAAATCAAGCAGAGAGCTAGTTTGTAAATAATAAAATACTTTCGGATACTTAACTTGATTAATTACAAGGACCATGGAATGACAAACATAATAGATAAGATGGAAGAAAATCTGTCCGACCATAAGCGGCTAATGTTTTCGCAAATTGGGCAATTCTTATTAGGATACAATCAGCGATGATTATTTACAGTATAACAATAAGGATCTCGCTTTTACCTATTAAAGGTCATATGTTTAGTGAATGACATCATTGATCTATTTACGGCAAACTGCGAGACACGTGAAATTTTGCATAAAATACTCTTTTGTCGATAACATAATCTTTGGATAAACCAAATGGCTAAAAAATTGTCTCCTTACACAACATGACATGTCCACACGTGATGCAAGAACACAAACAGGAATGGTAACAGAAACGGTAATAATCTTTGTTTACGTGTTTTTGTAATGTCATAGGCGGAACCCATCTCATAAAGATGCATGATCATTCTGCCAAGAATTTTCAAAATTGAAACAAACGTGAATCACAACCCACTGTTCTTGATTACTCTGTTCTAAATTCCCAACCATTTGCTTTCACTTGTCCCGTTCCTGAGTATAACTGTGAAAAATAGGTTGCTTATTACGGGGGTCTTTGTATTTAAAGTATCTTTATATATATTTGTCATCACAAACATTACGTCAACTATTACTATCATCTATTGTGAAACTCAATGTCTATAAGCATCAGTCGCTCACCAACATAATTTTGAACTTAATGCTAATAATCACAACTGCTGTCTAGTTAGAAAACAGGTAAATCTAGCAATTCAAGTTAGACTACATTTCCCACTAGTAACGGATACTGAACATTATTAGAAAGTATTTACAATCATATATTTGTTCGCCGGTTTCAATCTGTCAGTCTTTTTGGTAGTATTGATGAGAGATAACCATTAGAGCAATGAGAACAATGTTACAATATGTACGTTTTATACGTAGCAACAGGTCAACTAGAAACTTTGTGGCCTAAACTAGTGTGTCTTTTTACCATTAGATAGAATCGCACTCCACTAACTCTTGGCTCAAATAGAATATGTCGGTTCTGGGAAATTTTAACAAATTGGTTGTTTTGCCGATGATGCGGCTCTCGAACTGACGTGACAAACTTTTGCTATATTAAAGATTTTTTAAGAGTAAATTTGTTATTGCTTTGTTTAATGTTATTCTCTACGTAAATGCCAATTTAGTCTAATAAACATAAATGTGTATACAATGTCAAATAAACCGAGAAAACCTATTATACAAATATTATTTACATCCAGTTACGTAAGTTTCGATAAAACTAAGTCAAATGGTTTTCTCAATAATTACAGATAACAATAATAGTATATGTATTGCATGCATGCAAATTTGTCCAATATAAAAAATATTTTAAAGCTATAAAATAATATAAATGTAGAGGCTCTATTTAAATTTTAGTATCGCAGATACTCTAAAGTTCATATAAAACATATTTTGTGATAGTACATTAAACAATCTACATCACAAATTATATCGTTGTTTCTTCAAAAGACAATAAATAATAAGCAAGCACAAGAACAAATAGCCTTACATGTCTCGCCTCAATACTTTGTTAAAAACCCCAAACATTTTTTTTCGAGTTTTTTCAGAAAACCAACATGGTCCTTCTTCCAAATAGGATGTATCTAGCACATAGCACCGAATTACTTCCTTAAGTTCGGAGATGTCGTTACCAAGTTGCTTTATTTGCAAATTAAGGTCGGCTTGAGAATTATCATTGTTGAAAACATTGTCTTGAGAAGGAGAGCGAAAGAGTGACGCGCCTACAAGCTCTGCTGGTTCTCTCGAGAATTTGTGTGCAATACCCCATGCATCCATACGCGCTTGACCAAAAAACAATACATAAGCACCTCCGATTATGCCTAATTTAGTTTGACAAGCAAAAAAAATATTGGTTAACATTTGTAGTTTAAGTATTAGAACATGGTTGTTTAAAAAAAAAAAAGAGTACCGACCAAATGCACCGCCAGCAGATGCAATAGCACTGAGAATGGTAATTGTTCTGTATCGGCATTAATTACGAGATTAAACAAATTAAACTTTTTGATTATAAACAATTAAAATCTGACATGTAGACCAATATAACTTACCGTTCTTCCGTTTCTTGTGTCTGGACAAAACTTCCAGCCGCTACAGAGAAATATACATTTGTTCCATTCGCTAAACCATATGGATTTGTGTTGAATGGAAAGTATGTCACAGTGTTATCTATTATCGGAGTAACATGATAATTTGCTCCAAATCTTTGAAAATAAAAACAGCAAATTATTAAAGTGTTAAAAATCAAAAACTAGTTGTGAAAACAGTAATTAATATTTACCCTATAATAGCGGAAATGTCCCTCGGCAGGATGGCCCTGTATTCGTTTATTCTGAATTTAATCTGAATATATCGAAATAATTAATAATTAAAATTTAACTTATTGAATTATGAAAGATAAGAGTCTTACCACTGCAGCGTAGTCCACCATGCCTGCAAGAAAATTCCATTCGAGCGTCATTTCCGATTTGACGTCTTCGTCCATTTGATTAATAACTTCTTCCGGATGTGTTAGCGGATTGAACGTAGGTGTCGTTAGCAGCATATTGAGAGCAGCTATCCCGATAGCACTCTGTTCCGCGGCGGTTACATTTGGAATTTGGAGATAAATGCCGATTTTTGACACGCCATCTTCAGACTCATAAGGGTGAGCGTACTTGAGAGTTTGATTTGTTGTAAACGTGTGGCAATAGTTCCGGAAAGAACCCAAGTTTGATGGAGCGGAAACTATATAGTCATTACAGTTGTCAATCTGAGTCTTTGTACCGTTTTTCCACATAAAATCACATCGTAATATGAGCATATCATTGCTTCCACAAATTAATATATCTGTTGATAGAGTTGAGATTGCTTGCTATGTGAATTGATGTTACAAGTACGAAATTATGCACCAGTTACTGTTGATACAAACCAGGAACGTCTATTTCTTTCAGAAAAAAGTGGTCCGTTTTTAATATGTAAGTATCGGTAATAAGGTTGTGGATTAAATATACTATGTATGCAAAATAAAGGATTGGAACCAGCCAGTAAGCATAACGCCGAACAGTGTGAATTCGTTTTGGTTCACGTTCGATCTGTTGGCTTTTGGAATCCATGGGGTAGACTATTCGAAAGACGACAATGTCAAACCATTCAGATCGGGAGTTATATTTATATTGGTTAATCATGTTCCAGGAATACAAAAATTTCCTTTTCACCGAAACCTAACCAGAAAAACTTACGTTGCAATTGTAATCATTACATTTGGGGGTTGAGTAATTAATTGTCTTCGCAACCAACCACAGGGAATTTGTTCTAAGGGCAATTGCCTAAATAGTAACACATATCGATATATACAAAGCCGTATATCATTAATTCTTTTTGTGTTTTCAAAAACCGGCTTTTTATTCCTTGTCCATCTGTAACGTTAGTAAGTAGTCCCGATCGCACGTTCCAAGTAAGATGAAAAACAATTACTCCAAGATATTTCAATGCGCATTGAACATATTTTTGAAACAAATTCGCACAACAGGCAGGTTCGTGTTTCCATTGGCGAAATTTTCAATTACCGTAACTTGAAGTATTACATGTAGTAAATCTCACTACTCTGTTCCACCGCAGGTATCATCGTAAAGCAGCTTGATTACATAAGAAAATATCTTTATGTAGACTTAACCAAGAGGTCTGGGTGCATAAATTATATGGCATACTACACTACACACAATATATTTTATCGTATACGTATGTGCATAGAATGTCGTTAATTGTACAATGGGTATAAATTGGCTTTAATATTTGCAGTAATATAAAAGCATAGGTTTGTATCTAAAAAGTTTCCTTTATCATACAATTGATAATTATAAACATATGCCAGTGAGCGAACTTTAAAAAGTGATGGATAAAGATTTCCTTGTTAGTTGCTATAAATAACCGATCTACCAATTAAATCTCTGACAGGGGTTAATTAGAACTACAGATAAATATGCCAAGTCGTGACACGGTGCCACCGATTGGGTTACTGGTTCTTTCTTTCGGTTGGAATTCATAATCTTACAATCAATCGTTTTGTGAATATTCTTCTTTCGTAGTGTTGTGAATTCATACATGAATGGTAAATTGACTACTAATGTACCACATACCCGTTCTTTGTTAACTAAAGAAATGTTGAAACATATCGATATGATACTCCTACACCTAGAAAAAGTGGTGTGCGACTTGTATTGACAGCTCTGAAATTCAACAAATCTTGTCTAGACTTGTAGACTTACATAATACAGTGGAAGTAATATTTAAAAAGACGGTTGACGGAAGTAAACGTCTACGGAAAAATTATCAGCAACAAGCATTGGAAGCAAGTCTTCCGGTAATAACTCTATTTGACTCGTAAACCAATTTTGGTTTAGCTTTATGTAAAGCGGAAAATCGATGCTGAAAAATTCCCAGTTCAAAAAATAACAGTTCCATATGTTAAGTATATTACATAAAAGCTAAAACGATTAGTACTAGCCAGTTCGTTTCAGTATTTGTAACCGGTGCGCGCCTTTGAGTAATAATCACTGCATAGCCGTGCCTTGTGGATACAAAATTATTACATACGATCAGTCTTGTTTTACTGCGAGGCATGTCAATTTTCACAAAGCGATTTGTTTCAAAAATACGGGATAAACAAATTGAGTTAGAAAATTTCTGTCACAGCCAATTACATTATGTTTGATAACGTCAATTGTTTCGATTGGCATGTAAACAAATACTAAGCCTCAACGATATTTATTCACACACGTAAAGCAACCTTTCTCTCGAGTTAAACATTTGAAGATGAACGTTTTGGCTGATCTATCTTCTGGTCTTTCGCCAGATTTTGAAAACCTTTATGATACTGGAAATTATACGGATGTTTCAATTTCTGTTGGACGAGAACCAAATAACAAAATATTTCTAGCTCATTTCCTGGTACTGCAAGCGCGAAGCACATTTTTTCGAAGCATGTTAGTTGACAATAAAGATGTATCTAATCCTATTGAACGACCAGCCATGGTCTTCGAAGACATAACACCTGATGTCTTTGAAATTTTGCTTAGGTAAGATAACAACTTACACATCACGTAACAATAGCAATAATAAGAACTTATTGGGATGTTTGCTATAGCTATTTTATTATATGAGACTTTCCGTACTTGTAAACCGTCTACAATAAATGTGTGCTTGATAGTTATACTCAATTTTTTTGATAGATTTATCTATACAGGAAAAGTGTCCTTTGATTCGCACAAGAATAAAGTACATTGGGTTGCTCTTTTGGAAGGAGCCAAAAAGTTTGAATTAAGCACTGTCTGTACTGCAGTTGAAGAATATTTGATCGGACAACACAGGATCGGGGGAAAGCAACACATCTTTACGGTTTATAACTATGCTTTATCCACAAACTCATTGCGGAAACTCGTAGATTATTGCAATAAAGTTATATCATTGTTCCCAGACGTCATTCTCAACTCTGATGATTTGATGGACTTACAAAAGGAGACGTTTATCGCTCTCCTTAAGATGATGAACTTAAAATAGACGAAATTTATGTTTGGAAGTCAGCTGTAGAATGGGCTGTTGGACAAATTCCCGGACTCGCAAATAACCCAATCGACTGGTCGTCCAACCATATTACCACTCTCAAAGCTATCATGGCCGATTGTATACCTCATGTTAGATTCTTTAATATTTCTCCCATGGATTTCGATTACGACGTTGTTCCCTATGTCGAATTATTACCAAAGGAGTTGCGAACTGACATATTTCATCATTATCTGCAATAAAATTACAAACCGGAACAGCAAATGCTCCCACAAAGAAGAGGACAATTCCCTGTTATTGATTCAGTTATCATTAAAAGTCAACATGCAGCATGGATCTTGCAGAAAATTAGGGAATCAAAACAAAGAAACCAAATTAAGGACACAAGGCAATGTCTTGTATATAAAATAAAATTATTATATCGGCATAGCAGAGATGGTAATAATGAAAGTAGCACGGTTAGAAGATCTCGACAAACGTGTGATACACCTAAATTTACTGTAGGAAAGGTGAAAGATACTGGAGAAATACTTGGTGAATATGATCCATTAGCATGGAAGAGGGCTAAAGAAATGTTTATATTTTCACTAGATGAGAATTGCATGGAAAGAAACATAGCGAGTTTTATCAAGGATGGGAAGCATTCGATTCCAAATCGCGATTCTAATGTTGCAAATAGTATTAATCAGAACCACCAAACAAATAATAATGGTTTTGATTTTTCATATAGTTTCTTAAGCTATGAGGTTCCAATAAGGTTTTATGAGAATACCTTGTCATGGGTTGATTGGGAGGTCTTTTCTGTTGAGTCGAATCCACCCAAGGCAGGTATCACGACTTTGTAAATAAATGCGTATATTAGATACACGGTATTATGTACTGTGTGTGATTAATGGCGGATCTGGTTCGAATTATTTCCGATAAACGTTTCAACATTCCGTTGTTGTTATTATCAAAGACCGTTGTCGACGTTCTATAATAGACTTGACTTTTTTTTTCTTTCATTAATTGTTCGCCCGTTTTTCTAGTCAATGTGTAACATCTGTGAAAAAGCTAACGTGTGTCGCAACGAACATGCTATTATTCGTGTAACGACTAGATCAGAGATTAACCCAATCAGTCCCGGCCTTATTACAATAAAACTAGGAAACGGTGAGTCCGGCACGATCATCATCAATCAATCTGGTTGAGATCATGTGCGGGACAGAGAAATTCATGTGATCGAAATTTTTTCATAGTGCGCGTAGACAGTAACAGTCCTTCGCTCCAGACAATTACTATCCTAGCGCTCTACTAATACAGTTGTTACATTAAAGACTTACCAACCTTGAAAATGAGCGACATAGTTGAATTACTTTCTGACGTTTCATCGGATTATGAAAACTTTATAAAAGCGGAAAGCATACCGATATCTCAATTCATGTCGGCCGGGAACCAACCAACAAGATCTTCCTCGCTCACTCCTTAGTTTTATGTACACGGAGCTCATATTTTGAAGACACGCCAAGTGGAAACACGGAAGCCGCTAACGGCCTGCCATGGTCTTTGAAGACATGACGCCGGATATTTTGCTTAGGTAAATTTGATGTGAAAGCTTTTACCTTTGGGAAATTGTCTATTACTTGTAGATTTATTTACACTGGGAAAGTGTCTTCTCATTCATGCGAAGGTGTATTCTTTTGGAAGGAGCTAATAAGCTTGGGTTAAACGCTTTCTGTACTGCGATTGGAGATTATTTGATGAAACAACATGAGCAATGGATAAAACGAAACATTCTACTTTATAACTATGCATTGCCCACAGATTCACTAAGAAGACTATTGCAATCAACTTATCTTGTCGTCTTCAGATATCGTCTTCAAGTCTAGCAGTAAACCAAATGCGTGTTATAATGTTTGTGTTGATTTACGTAAACAGACATTGCAGACTCTCACACACATTCCTTATGCATAAACAACTGTGTTTATATAATATATAATATTAAGTAGCCAACATCGTCATCTAACACGCAAACACGTGTCTGTTTATATGCCAGTCCCATCGACGACAAGTTTGTCTGATGAACACACGTTTACTCGTATATACACAGCCACAGCGTTTTCTTGCCCCATGAATCTATTCACAACACTTTCTTTTCTTGCAAAGCGCAAATACAGCCTTATTTAATAGTTAATATACAACAAACAATTCTTTATATTACGCAGGTACTCTAGTTTGCTACACTCAACAATAGCACCGTTTATCGACCACATATCCGGTCGGTGATCCAGGATTCGACGTTCTGCTAATCCACACTAACATCTATTAATGGCGTACCGAATAGATTTAAGTGGAATATTCATAAAATCAAAGGTTCGGGCAAGTTGTTATTGTCATAAGTTTATTAATTAATTTTAGATGTTCGACGTCTTTTCAATAAAGGTATCTTTCCGTGTTCAATGAAATAGTAATAATAACTTGGCAATTATTATATGACTTAGGCGTTACATACAAGTCATTTTCTCGGTTACGAAACGCATAATATACCCTTCCCATTACTTTGACAACTAGCTCTATACTCGACTATTGCTTTGACTGTGTAACAGAACATGGATGCTGTCATTGTTTAATCGGCGCGCTTAGTATATTCGACAATTTACAAGTAGAGAACGAAATACAACATGAAAAAAGTTTTTTTTGACAATGAAACTTTAATAAATCATTATTCAACAATTGAGCGAGGTAATATTAATATGTATTGATCTCTTATCCAAATTTGTAAATAAACATATGGTTTAATGGCTCTTGCAGTGAGGTCTGGTTCATTTTCTCGAATTATACATGTCAATAGGTAACAATATTATATTCAGTCACAAACTTGACCTTCAAAACTTAGCACTAAGCGTGGTCCTGTTTACACTCCTATCTCAATTAATGCATCGGATGGCTCTACATTTCTTATAAACTCTCACTAAATATAAAGTGCTAAAATTATTTAATAAATAAAAAAAGATACTGCACTAATAAGCAACAGACACATTCGTTCAACAACAACGGCATACAAGAATAAAATTATTATTAGAATAACAATTAATAATAATAATTGAAGAGACTAATATATAAATTTTGACACTCTATTCTCAGCTCGCTCCTAGTACTTGTAATACATAATAAATACTATAATAATAAAACATAATTGATAACTGAATCTCAATCTTGAGCAAAATTTCAATCCAAAATAACTGAGTCAATATATAACCAAAAGATTAACTATCAACTGAATAAATACAGCAGAGAAAGCTTGTTCTACTACTACAACCTTAACATGTTATCAATTTATTTATAACTACATAGTAATAATATTATATCATCCCAATCACTTTTACTAATACTAAGAGAAAATCCCATTCAACATATTTATATTAAGGCTTCAATTATTCTTAATATTAATAATAAAGTTAATGATTAAATAAGCTTATCAACAGAAAACACCTCCCAATCATCCCATTTAAATCTATCACTAGTAGACTTGATTAAAAGCTGATATACTGAAACGCCATTTTTATGAGCAATAGGGTCATAAATTTTTCCACTATTATAACCACCAAACCATAAAATGCTATGAGGACCACCAAAATAGGGGAAATAGTTTGGGTGTTCATAAATAGCATTGCCAATTTGGTTCTCTCTAACAAAGCTTATTATGTTCTTTTCAACATCATTCTTATCTAGCAAAAATACAAAACTTTCTCTAGTTGAAACATATCCTTTATTACTAGTGCTCCATGATAATGGGTTATATCCACCAAGTATTTCTCCTGTACCCTTTACCCTTCCTACAGCAACTGTTGGTCCTTTATTTGCACACATTCGCCGAAAATTTTTAGCTATTGTCTCCTTGTTATTATCACGATTATCTCTGCTTTCCCGATAAAGCAAGGTCAGTTTATAAGAAAAATTTTGTTCACGGGCTGTACCTTGTTCAATTCGGTCGTTCTGTTTTGTTTCTGAGATTTTCTGTAAAATCCATGATGCTTGCTGCTCGTTGATGACAACTGAATCGACATCAAGCAGTTTCCTTTTCCTTTGCCCTTTTCTTAGTGATAACATTGGCGTTTTTGGTTTATAGTTACGTTGCAAATAATAAGAAAGTACATCAGATCGCAACTCTCTTGATAATAACTCAACGTATGGAACAACCTTTTCATTGAATACTTTAGCTGACATGTTAAAGAATCTGATATGAGGTATACAGTCTGCCATAATGTCTTTGATTGCATTAACATCATTAGTTGACCAACTAGCAGGATTATTCGCAAGTCCAGATAGGTTAACGGCCCATTGCACAACTGACATCCAAACATCGCCTTCATCCATATTAAGCTCATCACTCTTGAGAAGTTTAATAAAAACTTCTTTTGGCAAATCCGCCACATTATTGGACTTGAGGATGATATCTGGAGATGACAACATGAGTTGATTGCAATAATCTCCGAGTCTTCTTAGTGAATCTGTGGGCCATGCATAGTTATAAACTGTGAGAATGTTCTGTTTTATCCATTTCTCACGTTGTTTGATCAAATAATCTCCAATCGCTGCACAAAAAGTGTTTAAACCAAGTTTATTGGCTCCTTCCAAAAGAACAATCCAAGATATTCCCTCACATAAATGAGAAGGCACTTTTCCTGAGTAAATAAATCTATGAGCACAATAATAAGTGTGAGTACTAGTCAACAGGTAAGCATACTAATAACTAACACGATAAATAGCAAATGGAAGCATGTGAATAGATCCACTATAACTAATGAAGGACAACATAGTGATGAGACTTACCTAAGCAAAATTTCAAAAACATCAGGTGCAACGTCTTCGAACACCATTGCAGTTTGTTGAATTTCGTTAGAGACTTTTGTATCTCCGGTTAGCTTATCTTCAAAGAATGCGCTCCTTGTACATAGTACCAAAGAATGAGCAAGAAATATCTTGCTGTTTGGCTCTCGACCGACATGGATTGAAATATCGGTATATTTTCCACTTTCATAAAGCTTTTCATAATCCAGCGAAACGTCAGAAAGCAGTTCAATTATACTACTCATTTTCAATAACGTTGGAAACTTGTGCAATTCGGCAGAGTATTAGATTAACGTTAATGTGTAACCATTTATCATGGGTTTTTTATTATACATTGTAACTGGCGTAACAATGAAGTCTCTTCGGTTAATTCCAGCAACTCTATTCTTAAAACTGACCACCAATAGATAACGGCGTGAACTGTTAAAAAACATGGGCGTATTATACTTCATACCGGCTTTGACAACAAAATGAATGTGCTGAGTTTATCCAAGATTCTAATGATAATTAGCAACGAAAGAATTGACACGTTTACCAATATCTTGTAGGTGGTCTAATAAATATATGGGAATGTCTATTACTAATACTGACGTACACTTAATACAGTTTGACTTACTCAAAAATACGACAGAACATTTTTGTCTTCTTAATAAAGACTTCATGCTTAATATTAGACGGGAATCAACAACGTTGAACTGATTCTGTACTTATGCAATTTACCCATTAACACTCGCAAAGTAAACGATTAAACAGATCATGGAATTCCCTTTTTTTCAAACCCCTTTCGGATAGCAGCCCTCCATTACATTTTAAACAATAAATGACTTCAAGATGTGATCCCATATCACGAGTCGTGACTGAATTCTAAACTGTCATTCATTTCTTCTGAGCAATCAATCCTACTCTATTAGAAGCTTGGAATGCATTTACCAGCAACTGTAGTCTACACGCACGCAGAACCCCTGAAATATTTGTGTGGCGTCTTGTTTACACTTGCCAGGGAGTATGTAAAAATCGTGAGAAAAAAAAAAGCGCTTCGGTAGTTTTTCCTAAATCGGCCATCAACTTTACGTATATACACTGTTGTGTGCTGCCGCTCCAATTCCTTTTCTTTTTATTAACATTTTATTCAAAATCCCTCCATCACATCACTGGTAATGTTCGCGAACTCGTATGCGACTAACCATTATCAACTATATAACGGATTACTTCATCTAGTCAAGCACAACGTCTCAATTCTGTTCTCGAATTATGCGTTGTTCCTAAATTGACTATATTTCAAAATTGACTATCAGTCAGTCCGACTACTTTTTCCAAAGCGCTGTATTCTTATGCTTTCAATTCGTCGGTTCGTCACTTTAATCAATCCTCTTCTCTCTCTCTTTTCATTCGCACCAAGCATGCCTCCAACTCATCCTTGGCTACTTCTAACCGTTGTATTAAGACTCTGTTTAATCGCCTCTGCAATCTCCTTGTTAACTGCGAAGGATCAGTTACATTGTCGGGCATAGCGTTCCTGATTGCCTTGCGTTCCTCTGAAGAGACTCCACTCGATTTATCAAGTTTTGCAAGTTGTCGTCGAAGGAATTTGGTTAATTCTGTTAGGCCGTCTATCTCGGTCGAGCAGAGGGAGTGTGGAGCGTCTATTCCGTGATGGAAGAAGAATTTAGTGAGATCGTTACAAGTTGAAAAACATGTACATATCATTATATCATGTTTGGATAACAGCAAGAGCTGCAAAACTCATCTATCACCATTCTTCATCTTGCCGTAAGGTTTGTTATTATCCGTCTTCTCATCGATAATATTTACCTTTAAGTATATCACAATAATATACTCCTGCATACCAAATCATCCTTTCGAAGTAGGGAAATCGGTACTTTAATGGTACATGAGCTCGTCGCTCTAACTCAAACGTCCGTAACTGACCGCTGATGCCCATACTGTGTAGAAAATTACCGCCAATTACAATTGAATCGGCAGGTGTAAAGACTGCATGGATCCAGCCTGTTGGGATTATCCTATGAGGTTATAAAGCAAATACGTTGGAGTTAGTTAAATATGTATGTGTATGTGCGTGCGTGCGTGCGTGTATGTGTGTGTGTGTGTATGCGTGTGTGTATATGTATACGACCGTAACAACAATCTATTACGATTATTCCTAATACCATCGTTATCATCAATATCATCTCGTCCTTTCCTACTCTTTTTCCAAACTCACAACTTACATCGTGTTTCCAGTCTTCAACTTGACGATTTGACACTCTTTGACAAAATCAGCGAAAAAATTCAAACTCTGGTCAGGAGAACTAATCCATGATTCATATCTCTTCATATTTTTCGGTGTCGGTTCGATGAAGTAGAAATTTTTCTCTCCTCTAATGATGTGGTAGAACACGGATGTTCCTCCAAAGTCTATGTGAAAATCGGTATACGAATCTTTAACTGACATTAGACAGTATAACTGAACTTTGGGATATTCCGTTAAACGGAGATGCCGTGGCCAGACGTTTTCGATCCAGTCAAGTTCTCGTACGATGCGAGGACGTACTATTTGAGATGCAAAGGGCGTGTCGCTGACTTCGAGAGATATTACATTTAATGTATCTGTGCGATTTGGGTCTTCGAAGAAGGCTGCCCAGGATTCCATGGTCCAGCCTTGGAGTTCTTGCTGTGTGGAGACGTCTATTACGTCGACTGGATGGTCGAGGCCTTTTGTATAGGAATTGGGGAAAGTTGACAATTAAAAACGAGGGCATGGAGAGGTGGGAGGGTGGGGAAGAGTGGAATGGGAAAAGTGTTAATGTAAATAAAACGAGTTGAATATTATTAATTTAATTGTAGTTAATAAAGACTGTCTATCTTTTTATTAAAACTAGCTTAATTTTTTAACCAAAAGACAAACGGTTTGTTTTATAGTTACCGACAAATGGTTGTTTTGCAAAAAGAACTGTTTTTCTTTAAAAGAAAAACAATAATAACGGTTCCCTTGCATGCAAGCCTCTTGTCCAACTATTCGTTTCTTTACAGTTTAATATCAAACCAGAACAAAAACTATTACTTGTACATAGTATAATTATCGTTTTTCCTTACCAACAGCTACGGCAATATCACTCACGGTAGTGTCTGCGCCAGGCATGACCATATCCAAACCCTCAGCGTCCTCTATTATAATCGGTTCGTCAAATCCATTCTTCTTGACCCATTCCAATGTCAATTCACTGCCTCTCATTTTTTTAAACCTATTAGCTGTAAACCTCTTTTCTTCCAATAACTTCTTCCACTTGTTTCCGCCTCTCTCCCCCTTTGTACAAGCTGCCATATCTCCATTATCTAAATCGGCATAATTGATCCTCGAATGCTCTCTCGTTGACGTGCGTAGCCATGTTGTAGTCTGCGTGGTAGTCTGTGCACACTTTGAGCACACATAATTCTCTATACGTTCTACGTCGGTCGGGTCTACATTAACACATACAGCATGATACCAAATATCGCAGTTGTCGCATTCTATCCAGGTTTCGGTGCGGTCTCTGAGCCAGACGGGAATTGCATCAGGTCCGGTTGGACAGGAGGGACAGGTGAGTGGTTGTTGCTCTATTTTCACTTCTATCGATGATGATGACGATTGAATTGGATCAGTCATCTGTATTATTTGTAATCGATAGGCAGTCGGTTACCGATGTGGGTCCGTAAGATTTGTTTGGGGAGGCAGATGTCAGAGGATTGGTAGGGGGTCTGGGGGCTTTTGCAGGGATTGAGGTTGGATTGTTTGAGGTTGGGATTGATTGATTGATTGGGAGTTGGGTTGTTCTCTATTACGATGGATGATCGACTGTTGATCGGAGTTAATGGCAGTTATGGTACAATGCACTGGTTGGTAATATGTGACCAGGAGACAAACAAAATGCACAACAAATAAAATAAGCAACAATAGAAAGCTAAATTTAACCTATCAAAATTTTACGAGTAAGTCACGTGAATTAATACGGTTTCCTTTAGTTTGAAAATCCAAGTTCCGGATAATCTATACACTGACGTGTTTGCACAAAGAAATGTTATTTGTAGCAACGCGCTGACAAAGCAGATGCAGCGAGCATCAAGTTCGGTCATTGAACAGCAGCGGAGGAACGGGTGGGGGAAGAGGAGTGACGGCAAGTGACAAACTGAAGAGAAACGCCCGCCAAAAAACAAACTCTCAGATCTGAACGAAGGTGGAATTGCGGTGGTTTCAAGTAAAGTACACATGTATGGGACTTGCCTACGCTCGTGTACTCATGTCTCATGAACTGATCGTACAATCTGACCGAAATTACGAGAGAATCGCGCGCGCAGTGAATGTTGTTGGCGATAAATTCATGCGTAGTATGTAAAGGGGCCTTTTTCATTCAGATAACTCGAACTACATGAACTGTTCAAACATATTAATGCCATTCCATTAAACAAGTGCAAAGACTTTTCCGTTGAGATGAAATCCAAACAATGATTACGTGTACTTGGATCAAAGAACCTGCTTTAAAGACTTCCTGCCCAATCTACGCATTCCCTTTCAACTCCGTGTATGAACTCCCCACATTTTTTTCCCTGTCCGGGGATAACCTTTTTGGAATATTACATTGCACTCTCAAGTACCCAAATGCCTCCCATTCCCAGATTCACTTCAGATCAGCAGCACATTAAATGCCGCCGATTATCTAGAAATCTAACTCTATTTAGTTAGACACCATTGTGAATTAGAGAAATATCTGTATCACACAACAAGTAGTTTTTGTTATATGTCGGATACGTACATTTATCAATTACATACTAAAGTTTATTTTACATAATAAAAATGCATTATTGTATCTATCATTCGAAAATCATTAACTACATGTAAAAATAATTGCGTATTTCTAAAATTATCGATTCATCTTCAACTATAAATAATACTACTTTTTTTTTTCTTGTATCAAAGACCCTGGTTTTCCTTTTGTTGTTCAGTATAAACCTCATACATCGAATCTCGAGATGTATAATTTCGGACTGTCAATCGCTGTTGACGAGTTTCTAGTTCGCCTGCTGTTTCTTCTTGTCCGGAATGTCCTTGCTGTCCATGAACGATCGAAGGTGACAATGATGATAGCTGGGAATGTTCATCTGATGATTGATCGTCCTCCGTCAACACGGTAAAATCATTCATTTCATCATCCGATTCATTGTCTGTAATCACTTTTCGGGTAATGCGCTTTTCTAACCCTACTAAAACTTCAGGTACACTGTGCATGAATTGCATGCTATTTCGATTACTTCTCCCATTCGATTCTTCGCGGATGCGTCCAATAGTATGAGGCGATACCGATGATGGCGTTTCGTTGGTATCAAGTCGTGGAGATTGTGATTGAGAGGAAGAAGATCGAGAGTGAGAACTCGAATGAGAAGGTGTGAGTGAGTGAGTACCAAAACGTGTCTGAGATGGAGAGCGGCGATGAGAGCCTTGTGAATGTGAACTATGAGACGAGCTGGAATTTGTCTTGGAATCTGCCTCGAGACTTCTCGGCGCCGCGGCTCCACTTGCATCAGTGTAGAAGATATAATCAAATTCGGAAAGAAGCAGATTGAATACCCCAGTCGGAATACCAAGCGTAGGGGAGAATACTATTCCGACGTTGCGCATTGTCATCTTGTTGATGTCTGCATTCTGAACAATGCGTATCAAGTGTCCTGTAAGCGTACGCAGAAGAGTATAATTGGCTAGAGGTATTGCTGATACTAGACGTCCCAGTTCATTCACACGTTCACGTCTGTCCAACAGATCTACAAAAAATTTTGCATGTAAGAATAAAGTATATAATCTGGCGTATAATCGATATCATGGCATGTCATATACACAGTTCCCACACATATTTCGTGTTAAAGAGAAACACTTACCAACAACTTTTACAAATTCAGGATGCAAGTCGCGGGTAAGAACACTAGTCGGTAATTCCCTCAAATACAACTTCAACAGTCCGGTAACAGCATGCACATCATATGGTTGGCCTTCAGCCAACAAATTCACATCTCCCTCGGAATTAAACCTATCCTTTAACATCTTTATCACGTTGGCCGAACCATTTAATCTGTATATTCCTTCTTCGAAAGCGGCACCTTTTGCGTCCAGATATTCGACGCATCTGTGTACTATAGCAGGTAATTCATAGCCTTCCTTGATCCTTGATGCTGCTATAGCTTGATCCAATGGCACTCCGAACACAGTCCTAACGTGATCGGAATTAATTTGTGTCGGATGTTTTCTCTTTTCGCTGAGACTATAACCAAGAATATTCTTTCCAAATAGAGTCATTCTAGCACCTCGCCTATCCTTGTCGTCTTGTCGCCGTAATTGTCCATTGGATGTTTCACGTAGACTTCGCAAGTATGATTGATACGCTTGTTGGTTCATATTCTCAAGTGATGATGTATCTACAATGTTGCGTATTCGGTCAGGATCTTGCGGTCGTGGTGATTTCTGTGAAGGGTCATAATGAGGAGCCTGCGATTGAAGCTGAGCGTTGGGCGATTGTGCTTGATATATTGATGAGCTTGGTGAAGTTGACAGAACCGAATCATTCGGGTTCGCTTGTAGTTGTAGTTGTTGCTGCTGTTGTTGCTGTTGCTGTTGCTGTTGCTGCATTAAGCTTTCTTCTTGCGCCTGTTGTATGGCTAAATCACTTACAACCAGTTTATTATATACCCCATCTTCTCTTGACAGTTGTGATATCGGTTGCGCGTTCATCTTCGAAATGTTCGGTATCTTTTTATTCTCCCTTTCTCTTTCTCTCTCTCTCTCTTTTTCTTTTTCCCTTTCTCTCCCCCGCTCTTCTACTTCTTCTTTCAGTTTAAACCTTTTTTGCGTCTCTTCATCAGTAATCGCAACATACTCTAGCAGTGCTTCTACCCATTCATCACGATCAGCGTCACTCTCTGCACACAAAACATGTTTTGTTTGGGCCTTGGACCCCGGTTTCGGTTCCAGAATAAGAAAAGCATGTCGATATTCGTTCTCGTCACTTCCCATTGAATCTGACTCTACTGGAGCTGTGTTTTGTTGCCTGCCTATTTGTGCATGCGTCAAACGAATCGAACCAAGATGAGGTCCACCTTTCTATTAACAAAAAATTCAGGGATAAACACTATTAGAATTAGTTATGACCTGCGTAAACGTAATCAAAGAAACTTACAGATTCATAATAATCCAGAACTGATTTTGTAAGAACAAAGTAACGAGTCTTCCATACACGAAAGCTCTTGCCCCTTTTGGTCAGGTAACCTTCTTTGTGTCCAGTAAGCTAATAAATCATAAAGACACCACTATTAAAATATGTACTAGAGTTTAAGTCATTTCATCATTATTGTCTCATACCTGATAATCCGATTTCTCGGGTTCGATAACATTTGAACTGAGGAATTCACATAAATCTCTGTTGTCATTCCATGGCAAGTTAACCACGTGCTGAAGATACCGCTCAAGAGCCAGCTAAATATAATGGGACCATATTATAAGCGAATCCAAGATTTTCAACAGCATTAGCTTCATAACCTGCTTATAAGCATACCTTGCGCTGATCTGATTTACTTGGAGCATTAGTCGTGAATAAATTCTTGTCAGGCAGCTTTCCAATTTTTTTTATAAAACTAGTTGTCTGATGTAACTTGAGCTATAAACAGAAAAATACGTTATGACTGTTAGTAATCATACATTACTTGTGAGCGTTACGAGTACGTACATTATTAAATATCTAACCGTACCTTTGCATCCAGTGTCAAAAAATCCGAGTATTTCTTGCTAACACGCCAAAGTTCTTTACCAGTTCCGATAGTAACCCCATCCTCGTTTGTTTTTGCCTCGTACACAGCAATAGTAAAAGCAAGAACTTCTTTTGCCCTATCATTAACTTCTATTGTACTCCCTATCACTTTAACCGTTATACTGGATATAGGATCGTTTGGAGTAGGTTGTGATTGAGTGGGTACGTTTTTATGTGAATCTGTAAACGTACTGTCTTTAGGAGAAGATAAAACTGCAGCAAAGTTAATCGCAGGCTCATCCGACCCAGCCGAAAAGTTAATTATGGTATCACTAGCTTTTGTCGGACGCGATAATGTCTGTGATTCGGAATTGTCAGTGTTTCTAGTTCCTGCATACTGGTCTACTTCTGCATGGCTAATACGAGGTAAAGAGTCCATACGAGGAAAAGTGTTCATTCGTGACTGGACACCAGCCCGTTGCTGAGAATTCTCAATGGACAGGGACTGAGAACCAGATTTTACTGGCGGTGACAGAGGCTGAGATGTCTGTCCAGCAGTAGACGTGGTATTAATTACAGTAGGCTCGGCGACAAACGTCTTTGTTCCAAATTTAAGTTCAGACGCAGCCATACTTGTTACAGATGTAGACTCGGATATGACAGACTCTGACAAACCCACGTTTTCTACCGGCGTAGATTCAACGTTCCTTAATAATGTAGACTCGACAATTGCACTTGTCACGGACGTTGATTCAGATGCAGTACTCGACAAAGCAACCGGTTCGATCAATGTCACAACAGACGTAGGCTCACTGACAGGAATAGCAGTCGGCGATAAAGAATCTTTCCTCCTTATTTCGTCACTATCACCATCGGCGTAGCTACGGGGAGACCTCGGTGAAGAAGATAATACAGGCGATTTCACTGCCGGTGGGCTATTTAGAGGTGAAGTAGATCGTCCGGATGATCTCGAACTAGCGGGAGGACTGTGTGAACCAGGCAATCCGGGAGACTTCATCCCAGGAGGAAGCCCACTTCGAGGTGAACTGGGCAGCCCTACAAAGGTTCCCGATTCACCCGTCCTTCGCAATGGAATACCACTCAATCTATGCCCCTTTTTATTACGATTTGACGATGAAGTGGACTCTGTTGAATCGACATTGTCCAATGGCGTTGGATCTTGATGATGTACGGCAAGGGATTCTTGTGCAGGGAATTTTGATATAGACGATTCATACGCACTCGTACGGGACGGTGATGTACTTCCGCTGTCCTGTTCCGAGATGGTCACTTGGAGAGTGGGTGTCTTATTGAGTTGCTGGTGGTCGGACTGTGGGGGCGATTCGCTTATTGGAAGCGGCTGCGTTGTTTCATCTGCCGAGTTAGTAGTATCGTACATGTATAGTGATGAAAAGGAAGAAGTAGAATCTTGACGATCATTCGTAGCGATATTCTCTAATGAAATTTTTATTATTTGACGGCCATCCTCTTGTTGTTGCTGCCGTTGCTGTTGCCGTTCTTGCTCTTGTACTTTCTCTTGAACGTCTACATGTTCCTGTTCTTGCTCTTTCTCTTGCTCTTGCTCTTGCTCTTGCGGTAGTTGAACATGTTCTTGTACTTGTGCGTATTGTAGTTGTTGTCGCTGCTGCTGCTGCTGCTGTAGTCGAACACGTTCTTGTATTTGTTGTTGTTGTTTCTGCTGCTGCTGCTGCTGCTGCTGTTGCTGCTGCCGTTGTTGATGTTGATATGTAGAATTAAATTCTCGCTCGCTGTGAGTTTCGTCGACAGTTGCAGGCAAGTTTGACGATTGAGGTAAGCGCGTACTGGTTGGAGAATGAGTGCTAGTGGGGTAGATTTGTTGAGAACGTGGTCCAGCGTCTCTGCCATTTATCTGATTTGTGTCAATTGTAACTCTGTTATTAGCCGAATTTTCCGTTTGATTTAGAGCTTCAAGCTCTCTTATTCTTGCAGACAAACGATCTTTCTCGTAAGCCAACTTTTGGTTATCTTTTTGTAGGTTATGAATGACAGCCTTTTGCTTTTCAATAATTTTCCATAACTGGTCGTTCTGAGTTCTTAGAAATGTCCTTTCGTTAACCGCCTGTTGTAATGCTGTCTCTACGTTGGTATCATCCAAGTGTCTTTGTGAATTATCAACGGAAACCGCTGACTGCTGTTGCGAAGCCGACATTTCGATCTATGTAGCTCTTATAAGTAAATGTTTTATTCTACAATCACTCTCTTTATATATTACGCATTTGTCTGAAAAATAAGACGTGCGGAAAACCGAGAGTGACTTTTGTGAAGGGAAAAAGAGTAGGGTGAATTTGCAAGCAAATTTCTTTTAATGGAGGGGATATTATTTTTATTTTTAATTTTTAATTTCTTTTTTCAAGTATGTTCTGACAGTTTGAAATTTTATGGAAGAAGAATTCGCCAGGAATGGTTCTTGTTAATTGGTAAATATCCAGTTTGGATCATTATCATTTAAATGTGCCACCTTACTCGTTACGGAAATTACTGAAGTGCACTATTGTTCAAAAGATCGCCGGTGGAACCAAGAAAGGATTGGGACCTGCAGACGATGATTTGTATACCGAATCGAGAGCAATGGATGTACTTTTTTAGTTTATTAACCTTGGAATGAAACGTGAGAAATTTGGATATACCCCAGAATAAGGTCATGAAAGGTTTCAGCTGTCTAGTTTTCTGTAATTGCATAACAATACTGTTATGTATATATAAACTTTAGTAAGAAGGGGAGAAATTAACACTTATGACAATAACGTGACAACACAACTCTCATGTTAATACCCCCCGCAAACTCAAATAACTTGATAATGTGTGCTTATGTCATGACCAGTATGAGCGAGTAATAAATAGATAAGGCGCCGTCTTGCTATCTGACAAACTCGGATATTTGTGATAAGGTTTTGTAAACAAGAATATCATTTAACCGCAATTCCCACTCCTAAAAATGCATACCCTCCATATTTGCATGTAATGAACGTTTCAGGGTTTCTCGGGATGCACGTAAGAAAATTTTGTGCGACAGACCAAGCCAGATCTTGTTCATGCAGCTTATTCCTAATGTGATTGAATCCGCAGTCGATCAGTCAGTAAACATATGAAACATTTACCGTAAATAACTAGGAACTTGTTTATTTAAAGCTTTACCATTGCCAATACAAGTACAATGTAGAAATGCAACATTGCCATTAGCAGTTCAATCGAAGACGTGCGCGCGCTAAGTTAATTTTATGCAAGGTTAGAGTGCATAATGGGTATATCATACATCTTAGACGTGCTAATTAAGTATTAATAATAGTTGCCATTATTGCTGTCGATTAATACGGTTATCGAATAACGATCTACATTTTATTGCAGTATTATATTTATTGTACGGTATATCCATTCGCATTTGCGCTGTACTCGTAAGATTATGCAGTCTTGGGAATAAAAATTATTGCAGCAGTAATTATATAAGCCAGCATTTTATATTTAAAATGGTGACAAGATTACATACGAAATGACACGATACAAATGGCATGGTTTTACTTACAAATTACGTTACGCTATTGTGAAGCTTGCCCTTGTAATAATAAACCTAGTCGATGTAGTCAAAGAAAAAGGGGTAATTGGGGTAGCTGGGGTAGCTGGGGTATCTGGGGTAGCCGGGGTAGCCGAGGTAGCCGGGATAACTGGGATATCCGGGGTAGGCCGTAGTCCGCAATCAATTCTTTCGGAGACATTTACAAGCCTGAAAGCATAATTAATTTGACTCGAGAATTTACAACATCGAGATACATGTGACAGCGTAACATATGATTCCTAAATTGGTATGTTGTGGCGGTGGCTTGATCGTACTTCTCACATGTTAACCAATTTACGTTTACAAGATAGTGCTAGTTTGTAGCGTAAATATATCGATTATGTGCCACATGCTTTGCATGCCGCCACCAATTTAATTACATCATTCTCGTCTTAATTACAGTATTTCTATTCCACATAAGTCTCCTTGTGCCACTATTAGTAATGCTGATAACAATAATGACAGCAATTCAAGGGACTAGACTTTTGTTTACTATATAGCTCGTCTTTTTTTCCGAGAATGAACCAATTTTAAACTGCAAAGTTCAAACATCGATTACAACGAGATTTACTCCGTTTGTCATTATTCATGTGAATACCCTCCTACCGTATATTTTTAACCCAAATAAATGTGTCTTAATTACGCCATCGCATCACGCATGTTACATATTCAAACATAAACATTCTCCCTAAATGCATACTCTACTTTTTAAGAATACTTATTTCAATTAATACCCTGCGCGTGACTCTTTCGGCAACTGCTATATGTATACATCAGACGGAAAGGAGATAACTATATTTAGTCAATTATCTAGCCAGTCTGAGTATATTTGGATTGCAAATTCTTCGAGACATGTATATTAAACAGAAAGAAAGTTAGCACAACGAAAAGACTTTATCAAGTGTACGCCATCGTGACCAGGCAACTGACGTAATGCACCCGTGAGTGTAAAAATAATAATAACAGGCTTATCATTGCCTTTCATACTGTTTGTTATGCATAACAAAAATAAACATACATTTAATGCGTTATTGATACTAACAGTGTCCTTCACTTCTTTAGCTAGTTGATCAGTTAGTTTATTTTCGCTGGATCGTCAGCCTCCATGCTGTTGGTATCAGAAATTTTCACCTTCTGTGACGCATGAATTAATTCACCGACAAAAGTTTTGAAACGAGAATATTAATAATATAGTTGAAATATACCAAGAATATTGGTCATGTGCACTTGGAGAGTTTTATCTGTACAAATTTGGTATGCACTGTTCACGTGCATTTAATTTTGGAAAGTTCATTCTTGAAACAAAAGATGGGGTAAAAAATTCAAACTTGCAATAAAAAAATGGTTAGAATCGGCTATTTATGTTGGAAAACTGATTCTTTTTCGTTACGCTTGGTGGTAATGCTTGATCGATGGAACAACAAGTATTTCGTTACGAGAGGACATAAAGCATATGCTTACTTGATTGCAACGGTTACAAACGCATTTTTGTTAGTTCTATAGTTAAGAACTTGTATTCGATATCAACTGTTAGTTATCTAATATTTTATTGCTGCTTAATATATTATAGTTCAAAACTATTGACTGACTGAATTAATTTAAAAAAAACGTTAGCGTAATAAAAACTATTTGTAAACGTGTGATTGTAAATTAGTATCAACTTTTCATTAACACCATAAATGCCTGACTTTTGCAACAAAATGTGGCGCTAAAACGCCCTTTTATCTTTTACGTTGCATTTCCAACTGAATTAATAACGTTGATGTGACTAAATATTAAAAATGTTAAAAATAAGTAATAGTGCAATTATGGTTTTCTAAAGAATATCAGCAGAGGAGATTTGGTATGACACACATTTACAGAGAAAATACATTTTTTGTAAGAAATATTGTTTACAATTCTATTGATCTGATATAATTCAACATAATTCTGTGAGCAAATTAGAGTGGGTCAAAAAACCAACTTTTTCGACCGGGCTATCAAGCATAGTCAGATAGATAAATTGCTTTCCTTCGTACAAAGAAGCCTGCTGCACGAAACACTCCAGTAGCTCAACGTTAACTATTACATACCGTACCCCAAATTAATGCCAGTATAAAATGGAATTTGAACAGAGATGATTGGTTAAAGAGTTATATTATTTCAATTCGTTGGCACCAACTCCTTTGGTTTCATGGTTTATGTATAGATTACTAAATCGCATGATCGACAATGGCAACTTACGTGTAACATGTCTAAAATGATAATGAACTTTCCCAAAATCGCCTGGATGTCGAATTGGCTGGGAAGTGATTGTAAATATACAGACTGTCATATGTTTTGAACAAAAAAATTCCCGGAGGCTCCCGCAGCGATTTATTATGTTATCAAAGTACCATAATGAGATGGGGGAGAAGTGGGAGGAGTGCAGCATATATATTAGTGCGACATTAAAATTTTACATAAGTTTGTCATAAAGCATACTGAGGGTCCAACGGGTAAAAAGAGTTTCGTTCCACAGAGGTAAATCAAGACGTTTGGATTACCCAGAATTCAAAATGATTAATACGAAGTGTTTGGTTATCAACGAGGAAAGTTGTATCCAAACAGATAAATAGAATATTTAATATGTACAAACATGGAAGGATGTGTTGATCAACTAATGGTCCATGTTGTGTTCCTCCAAAGAGAAAAGAAAACGTTTTTCAGTTTAATACTTTGCCGAAGAGAAGAGGAAGAGTCGATCAATTAAAATTTACCAAACGCTGCAATTGCGCAGCCATATTCGAGAAAGATGCCGATTGCGGTCGGTACTGTAAGACAGATCGATTGATATGGGTTCTTTTTAGTACACGTGCACTAATATCATCCATTATATCGTTCAATGCACTGATCATTATTAATGATAAGGCAGATTGTTGACTAACTGCCATTTATATTAAATCTTTAAACAAAATTTGTACCAAAACTTATAATAGTAATTGTAATGACGAACCCTTACGGATTGTTAACCGTTTGGTAACTACTATTGCACACACATGATTAGACAGGACATTCCGTTGATCATTTCAAAGACAATAATATAGACTATTGCACTTTACCGAATTTGTAAAGAAAAATCAATAATAACATTGTTGACAAACAAAACACATAAACGAGCAGCTAAACATAAGCGAATGAATAAATGAAAACGAAATCATGCGATTTGCGCATACATTATTCAGTTGATGACAAATTTTATACATTTAATAAGGTTCGAGGCAAACCGAAAGGCGAATTGCGTTGAACAACGTTAGATTATATCTTCTTCGCTAGACACTTTAGGTTTCCATAATCGAATGTTCGATGCAAGAATAATTTAATTATTTTAATGTTATAGAAATCATAAAGTTTGGTTTAAAACAACCACGCATTTTATTATTTTACTGTAATTATTGTTTCAAAGAAAACATGCCAGAAATGTAACGTCTTTGCCAATTAGAGATTTGTAAAAGTTCTTAGTATTGTTTTACTTTGAGACAAGTATAAGGCAGGCGTTTTGTTAAGCTTAGTTATATTGTGTGTGTATCAGTATATACAATACTTTAATTACGGTTAGTAAAAATTTATTTGACTGAACA